CAACAATACAGTTCAGTACAAGAGGGATAGGAGGGCCCTGCTCCTTGGAGCTTGCAATCTAAGAGACACATAGGGGGAGAGTTACTAAGGCTGCATTCACACTTGAACCTTTTGTAGCTTGGAGCTCGAAGCTTGAAGCTCCAAAAACTCTCAAACTTAAAAAAATCAATTGTCCTATATGGTACCTGTTCCTGTAATCAGGTGTGAACAAGCACCATAGAGAACAATTGATTTTTTAAGTTTGAGCTTTTTTGGAGCTTCAAGCGTCAAGCTACAAAACGTTCAAGTGTGAATGCAGCCTTAAACTGGAGCACTCAGAATCTGGTGCAGCTGTGCATGGTAGTCAATCAGCTTCTAACTTCAGCTTGTTCAATTAAGCTTTGGCAATGCAACCTGGAAGCTGATTGGTTTCTACTCCAGAATTTGCACCAGATTTTGCACTCTCATTTTTTAGTAAATAACCCCCAAAGTGAATGGGCACAGATGTCAAAACACGGACATCTGTCCATAGAGATCTAGTCCAGTAGGGAATCTGCTCATGGATCCCCTGCTGTGGGGCAGCTTAGTTTGAAAGAGCCCTTATGCTGGAAAGACAGCAGAGGGGAAAGTGCATATGTTGCAACCGCAATGCTTTTTTGCGCAGCAAAAATGATCCCAACTGTCACCACCCACCATGTTGCCTGCTGAACGCAATCCCATTCAACTGCTATCAGGATTTTTAAGTGGTTAAAACAGGTGGTGAGGAGGTGATGCAATGCCTCCTCACTGCCAGCCAAATGCTCTCTGAAAATTGATCCAGACACAGATTGCTCTTCAGAGTGCAATGCTGGTGTGAATTGGCCGTAAAGATTTTAAACAATTATTTTAATGCATGCTTCAGCTGAAGGCATAATAGGTGTAACTTCAGTTCACATCAGAAACTACATGTGAATCATACGGGAATGCTGTGCGGTTCCTGTGCGATTCACATGCAGTTCTGTGCAGTGCAATTTCAGTCTGTTCATTTTGAATGGGATGAAATCACACTGCACCAACAGTAATGCATGCCCTACTTTTTAAAACACACTACAACTGGATCACATAGTACTTTTGTACCATGCGATCTGGTGCGGGCAACTGCACTGCAATTGCAAACTGTGTTTGGGGTGTCATAAACTTATTATTGACACCCACTGCAGATTGCATATAAAGTGTGTTTTGGATGCAATGTAAATTGCACAGGAACGCACAGCGCATTCATGTGTGGTCATGGTGTGAACCGGCCCTAATGCAGGCCATAGACGGGTCGAACATCGGCTGATTTTTCGAACGATAAACGACAAATTGGTCGTTCATTCGGCCGACGTTAACACCAACGAATAAAAAAATCGTCCGACTAAATCATAAGTTCACCCCATAACTTTTGTCCATTTCAGGTCACAGCTCATGAGCAGATTTTTTATTGTTAAAACGATCGTCCTATTTGGCTATTATTGCCGGGAAAATCGGCTGATCGTTCAAATCGGCCGCAAGTTTCCCAACATAACTGATAATCTGAAAGTGCAAAATACACGAAAAACGGCCAACGAACTAATCCACTAACGGTACGAAAATTTTTCTTTCGGTCGAAAAATCGGATGATTAACAACCCATCTATGGCCTGCATTAGGCTCAGGGAAAATGTAGGCCTTCAAGTCATTTGCAGCATTCTCATTAGCAGAAATTAACTCAAGCATGTTTAGATCCTAGTCCAGCAATGGGCAAACTACGGCCCGGCGGACCTTTTTATCCGGCCCGCGGAGCGTGATAAAAAAAAAAAACAGCCAGGGCAGGCAAACATTGGCTGTCAGGATGTGTGTAGGCGGGGCAGCGTGACGAACGTGAGGGGAGCTAGGCTCCTCTCACAGTCCGCCCTGAAGACCGGAACGGCGCGGGATACATTGGCTGTCAGGATGTGTGTAGGCGGGGCAGCGTGACGAACGTGAGGGGAGCTAGGCTCCTCTCACAGTCCGCCCTGAAGACCGGAACAGCGCGGGAACACGACGAGAGGAACGCGCGGAGCAAAGGTAAGTAAATTGACACAGGGGGGACTTGGCTTACTACTTGGGGGGGAATAGTACTATGGGGGATGAAATACTATATGAGGGATGAATTAATATGGGGAATGAATTACTATAGGGGGGATGAATTACTATAGGGGGGATGAATTACTACTATGGGGGATGAATTACTATGGGGGATGAATTACTATATGGGGGATTAATTACTATGCTTACTATGGGGGAATATTACTATACTTACTATGGATGGCATGGTAGGGGCTGGGCCGGCCAGCAGCTAGTGGGGGGCATAAAAGTTTTGTAAAATAACTCTTTTTATGCTTTTCTACCTTAAATTAATCTAAACATTTAATGTTACAAATTTTAATTTAATTTATATTAATTCACACATACACATCATTCATCTACTCCTGGTCCGGCCCCTGGGTCCAATATATGAACCCATTGCGGCCCTCAAGTCAAAAAGTTTACCCACCCCTGTCCTAGTCTAATCAAATTTATAACAAGCTGCAGATAGATAAATATAATTTGAAGAGAAATCTGCGTTTTATTTGAGGCAGGTGGGCAGGGGCAGGGTTGCCCCCTAAATGCAAGGTAGCAAGTGGACTGAGTCCTTGAAAACTCCATCTTTGACATGAAATCTCCTAATATTTAACAATTTACCTAGAGCAATTAATTAAAAGATCTAAGTACATAGAGTTTTGCACCAAACATTTATTCTACACCTAAGCAAACCTGCTCACAAAAGAGTAAACTTCTGTCTAAGCCTAGGTTCACATCTGTGAGGGTGGCGCTGCTGTGGATCCGCGCGAAGATCTACCCACACAGAGAAATGCAGATTCGCAGGCGGGTGCCATTAGATCTAATGGCATGCTGCCTGCACTGGAAAACGCAACCGTACTGGGAACCGAGGTTCCCATGCGGGCTGCGTTTTCCAAAGAAGTGCATGGACTTCTTCCCTGCATGTCACGGGCATGGGAGTCCATTCAAATGAATGGGCTCTCGTGCCCGTGCAAAACGCAGCCCGCATGGTCCACATACTGTATATGTGGACCAGGGGTCAATAAAAACATACAGCACAAGGGTGTAATACATACAAGCATTTCCTCACTTTAAAAATACCTAACTAATTGTACAGGTAGTTTGTACACTGTTATTGCTGTATTTGTTATGCTGTTTGGTCCATAACAATACAAATCATTGTATATTCAGATATTCCCAAAATGTTTCCAGCAATTACTGCATATAAGATTGCCACATGTTTCAAAGTCCTATTGTTCTGCTACAAGTCCTCTTATCCTGGTCGCTCTGATGGACTCAAGCATTAAAAAAAATGTATGTGGCACACTGCCACAAAATATTGTATTGATCTTTTAGAAGTTTGCATTCTTAAGCCCTGGTTCACACTGGATCCGACTTTCAAATCACTTGAAGTAGCATGATTTCAAAGTTGCATGTCAGTGAGATTTCAGGTGCAACCTACAGACATCTGTGTGACTTCATTTACAGATGTCTATGAAAGTTGCACCAAATTGCAATAAATAGTGCAGGAACTACGCTCAAAATCAGTGCGACTCCGATTTGAACGGTTCCATTACCAACAATAGGGTGCGACTTGTCATGCGATTTGAAACTGTCAAATGGCATGGGAAGTTTTACCGGAGTGAACCTGGGCCTAATCTGACTCAGATTGTTCAATAGGAGCAATATTGTGTAATGGAAATGTTTGTTACAGAAAGTCTCTTTTAGTAGTCATCAAAGTTGAGAGAATATTTTGAATGTATGTGTTTTTTTCTGAAAATCAGTGGTATGAAATCATTAAACTTGAAATAATGTCTTCCAGTACAATCAGGACATCTGATTGACTCAGCAACTCAGCAATAGACATTTAGGCTGCATTCACACTTGAGTGATTTGTAGCTTGAAGCTCGAAGCTCCAAAAATGCTCAAACTTAACAAATCAATTGTTCTTTTTGGTGTCAGTTCACACCTGATCCAGCGAACAGGCACTATAGAGAACAATTGATTTTTTAATTTTGAATGTTTTGGAGTTTCAAGCTTTGAGCTCCACCCTGCAAATCGCTCGAACGTGAATGCAGCCTAAGGTGAAGAAGACAGTGCGGTTGATTTACTAAAACTGGAGAGTGCAAAATCTGGTGCAGCTCTTCATGGTGATCAGCTTCCAGGGTTTTTTTTTTTTTTTTATCAAAAACTAATTGAAGAAGCTGAAGTTAGAAGCTGATTGGCTACCATGCACAGTTGCACAAGATTTTGATCTCTCCAGTTTTAGTAAATCAACTCCATAGTCTGAAGTTCAGTTGGGCCCTATTATAAAAGGCCATAACCTTGTAATACTTAAATTTACTGCTTTTGCGCCCTGAAATGTTTTTTTTTTATTTCTGATACAACTCTGACCTGCTCCAGACGCATATACCGTACTTATTTCTCTAGTTACTGTAGATCAGTACCAAGTGCACATAGCCCCATATCATAGATCTACCACCACCCAAAGATATTGGCCCACTTGCTTTTGTGCCCTGAAATGTTTTTTTTTTTTCTGAAATTTTTTTTTTTTTTTTCTGATACAACTCTGACCTGCTCCAGATGCAGATACTTATTTTCTCTAGTTACTGTAGATCAGTACTAAAAGCACATAGCCCCATATCATATATTGGCCCACTTGAAGGCTCATCATTCAATGGCTCTGCAATATACTATTAAGAAATAAAATTGTAATACTGATAATCAGTATTAGGATTCATGTTGTACTATCTACAACAGATTATCAAGCAAAATCTAAATAATAAAACAAGCATGTTTCTAAGGTTTGTTTAAATTCAGCCATGTTGCAAAGCATTTTAGGATTTTTAGCAAGCCACTCTTCGTAGACTGATAGTAAAAAATGTTTGTGATCCTAATGAATAATTTCTAAGATGTTTGCATTCTGTTTTTTCACTCGCAGTTCCTCCATGGGCTCTGGCTACCATTCTGATTGTGGCCGGCCTGCTCCTGCTGTGCTGCTGCTTCTGTATCTGTAAAAAATGCTTTGGGAAGAAGAAGAAAGGCAAGAAAGGTAAAGACAAGGTCAAGGCTCAGATTAACATGAAGGAAGTAAAAGAATTGGGAAAGAGTTACATTGATAAGGTAACTTAGTCTTTACCATATTAAACAATCATGATATAAATATGTAGGGAGATATTTACTAAAACTGGTGCACACTGAATCTGGTGCAGTTGTGCATAATAACCAATCAGCTTCTATGTTTTATCGTCAAAGCTTAACATCAAACTTGACTTTGAAATTGTGCGACTTTCAGTGAAGTCGCACACTTTCAGTCGGGTCAGATGCCGATTTCAGGTGCGATTTGCAAGGCATCTGACACAGATGTCTATGCATATCGCACCAAAAGTAGTATATGTACTACTTTAGAAATTGGTGCGGCGCCGACCAAGTCTGAACGGCACCGATTTGACCGCTCTAATTGAGGACAATAGGGTGTGACTTGGCATATGATTTGCAAGTCGCATGGCATGCAAATCGCACCCGATGTGACCTGGGTGTAAATGAACAAGCTGAAGTTAGGAACTGATTGGCTACTTTGCACAGCTACAGCAGATTCTGTGTGCACCAGTTTTAGTAAATCTCCCCCAATATGATTTAGTGTATAGTGTTTCAATATCTTCTTTCTTTTCCTGTCCCCCTTTCCCGATGCAGTTTGCTAGAAATGAAGGAAATGCTGGATGTTCTTATTAGAAAACCCAGTACACTTTTATCTTCTAAATGCCACATAATAAATATTTATCTGTAAAATAAATAATTTATTTTAAAAAATAAGTATTGCTTTGAAAATTTACTTATTGGCTTCTTTTATCTGTGGAGGACTTCAGCAAGGAGATTTCGTAAATATGTTATTTGTTCTGCCTATAGTGGCTATCATGAAAGGTTCTCATTTCCATGCTGGATTTTTCACTTCCTAGTAGTACAGAAAAATCAGTAGGAGAAATGATGTGCCCCCCCTCCCTTCTATTAACCTCCCTGGCGGTCTGATTATTTCAGATTTTTGGTGCTGAAAGCGGTACCATTATTTTGCATGGAAATATGTAGTTTCTTTATTGTAGGCTGTAATATTTAGGAATAACTCACTGAAATCTGTCCGATCAAGAGTCTATTAAACATCCCGGGTATGATAAAATTTGAAACACAAAATTATAAATTATAATTTTAATAAATAATCATAAAAAATAATAATATAATATAATACATTTAATTCAATAATATAATCAAACCAAAAACACTGAAATTTGAAATATAGCACCAAGTTCGCACATCACTGAGCAAAGTCGCAAAATCGTTTTCAGTGTCTGATGACGAATTTCCCCACTAATCATTATCACTCAATTCTGCAAGTGGTTCTAATTTACTGTCGCTGTTCTCTAGCTGGTCTAAAACTGATTTTGACCTAAAGGGACGCTTTTTGGACGCCATAGACTTTTCTAAGTTTCCAGGCAGGAACAGTCAAAATGCAGACAGGGCACAGGACAAAGCACTCGGGACAAAATGTATGTGAAATGGTTTGAAACAGCAATGTTTTACTATGTAAAATTCGTTTTGAAAAAAAATGACATTTTTAAAAAATTTTCAAATTTCCCGCCGCCCGTACGTCCCGACGTCACAGGGACCGGAACACAGAAGCCGGATGCCGGCATCAGCCAGAGGAGATGGCCGGGGACGCTGCAGGGGACACATCGCGGGAGCGAAGGACAAGGTAAGTGCTGGAGGGACTCCCTATGCAGCGCTGCATTGTATTCCCGAGTGTAGCTCGGGGCTACCGCTTTTGGTACAGAAACTTTACCCCGAGCTACACTCGGGAATACCGCCAGGGAGGTTAAAGTGTTACTAAACCCACAACAGTAAAATCAGTCTGTATATGCAGTAAAGCATGCTTGTTATACTCACTATGGGGTTAATCATCTCCATTGTGTAAAAAGGCTGTTTGATCCTGTTTTCTATGCCCCTCCTCTTGTTCAAATGTCCACCTGATAACACAGACTGAACCTGTAGCCACATGAACATGCTCAGTTTAGTGCGTATTGCTAGATATGTTTTTTTTTTTTTTCTTGGGAGACTGCATGTGATCAGCACTGCCCAGACAGAGGTCAGCGGTTTTGCATCCTCCTAGAGCAGAAATAAAACTCCTTCTATAAGCTTTAACCAGTGCTCTGCTGAAGTCACAAGACTGCTCTAACTGCTGATGAGAAAAGGTATTTAGAAGTTTATATTTAGTAAAATAATTGCATTTCCATGTTTTGTGTACTGTGGGAGACCAGATCCTGGGTCTTGGGTTTAGTAACACAATATGTACTGATGCAGACACAGAGTGTAAAAGAATGGTGAAGTGGAGAGAACCTAAACTGTTGTAGCTGTGCCCAAGCAGAAGGCAAAGGACTAATCAGCAGTATTGCCTGTGGGCTCTTTGCAGCTGGCCTTTCGTACATTATTGATTTGTCCTGCTTTGTTCTGCACTGTTTTTAGTGGAGGCAGCCATCTTGATAGAAACAGGTTTTCGCTTTGTAATGCCAGATGCCTGCCCAATGACTGGTGATCTAATGACTTTTGAGAAAATTATCAAAAAGCAGCAGGGGAAAAAAAATTATTCATACAGAAACAGATCCTTACACTGTAGGCTTGTGGTTACATTCTTCTCTCCAGGATGGGAAAACAATGAGCAGCACAGTAATCAAATCCCAAAATCGAATTCCAAATCTGAGACGGTGTCTTAAGCTGGGTACACACAGATCAAACATTGTTTGGTTCAACAGGAACCAGACAAATTCCAGTGTGTGTAGCCCTCCCAGTTTGATAGAAGTTAATTGTGAGATCAGCTTCTGTTGAATGGTCCTGCTGGAAAACCTCCTCTGATCAGTGGCTATAGCACTGATCAGTGTATTCTGACAAAATCCCTACTGTCAGAATACAATAGCACAGCTGAGGATGTGTAGATACAGGAATCTGTTTTTTTTTGTTCAGCTCACTAGTCCAATGAAAAAAAAAAAATAGAAAATGATGTGTATCCAACTTTAGGTAGTGTCATATGTAGACACAGGTATTAAGGAATTGTGCCTAAGGCTAGGTTCACACCTATGCAGGTTGCGTTTGAGCCATTTCTGCATTGCCTTTTGTGTTTTTGCCATGTGTTTGATGCGTTTTGCATTTTCTTTTTCATTTGTTTTATATTTTTCTTGTTGCTGGGCAGATTTCAAACGCAAAATGCAGCAAAAACGTAGCAAAAACGCAATACATGCTTTTCTGCAGCATTTCCATTGAAGTCTATTGAACCAAAAATGCAACATTTAGAATTAAAAAAAGTTCCTGACCCTTTCCAAAAAACACAGCGGGTGAAAATGCTCAGATGTGAACATGTCCCATAGGAAATCATGTTAAATGGACTGTACTGCATTTCTGCAAAACACTGCAGAAAACACTTAGGTGGGAACCTAGGGTAAGTATAATGCTTAGTGTAGGATCTTCACCTATAACATTGGAAATCTTTACCTTTTGAGATCAGGCCTAATTTAATAATAATAAGTGGGGCTTTGTGTTACCACAACTCCCAACCAGGGGTGGACTGACCATTAAAGCACTCGGGCACTGCCCAAGGGACCAGGGTCTGTAGGGGGCCCCATGAGATGCCCCTGGTACCTTTTAGAGGCTTTTTTGGGTGTGGTTTGAGTGTGGGTGAGGACACAGGGGCCCCATGATCACCTATTGCTTGGGGGCCCCATGAGTTGTTAGTCCGTCCCTGCTCCATGTCACTCTAAATTTCATTTATTTGTAGGAGCATAGCTGGATTGGAGTAGCCATTTATTGCAATTAAAATGCTGTGTAGTGGCTCTGATATGAAGGAACTTTCATACTACAGGCGTACCTCACTTTACGATTTTAATTCATTCTGCGGGACTTTTAGCATTGCGAAAAAATTTGTTAACTGAAATGCAATTTCCCATAGGAATGCATTGAAAAACTAATTAATCCGTTCCGGAGGTCAGAAAAAAGTAAAAAAAAAGTCTTTTATCTGTTCAAAACTCTTTATAAAGTGAACTTTAAAGGCATAAACACTGCACAGGGACATGATTAAAAAATTAATTCGCAAATGCATTAAAAGTGATTAACCCTTAGGAAGTATTTTACCAAAAGTGAGATTTTGTTGCAGAGGATCGATCACCTGATATATATCTTGTGCAGGCCATAGACGTTTATCGGCCAATTTTTCGTCTGAAAGAATAATCGAACGATTTTCGCACTGTTAGTGGGGCAATGGCATCAGCCGATTTTCGCGGTTCCTCCTCATTTCTTTTATCGGTCATGCTGGAAAATTTGTGAAAAACGGCCCGAATTTTGCAATCATTGGTGGCAACAGAACGACCGATGTTTCGTTTTTCGGACGAAAAATCGGCTGATAAACAAACTGTCTATGGCCTGCATTAGTGCAAAGTTCCTCACACATTTCTGGGAACGTTTCGTAAACCAACTGTATACAGAATGACCCCAGGTTGTCATATTGCAAGGAATTTAAAGAAAAATACAGCTGCTGCAGCTTGAAAAAGGAAAGGTAGTTTTCAATAACATTAAATTACAATATAGCGTGTGTAGCAATTGTATACGCTTTATATAGAAATATATATATACCGGTGTATATATATATATATATATATATATATATATATATATATATATATATATATAACATTTTCATTTGCTATATGTTTTCCACAATAGTGGAGTTATCCTTTAAGCCAGAGACAGCCAGACAACTTAAAGCTATAAGGCTGAGTGTAATGGTTACCACAGCAAACTACTACATTCCCAAAAAGTTAATTCTCCATGTATTTAAATCTGTACAGTACTCGGTTATATAAAATGAATTACATTCTCTGGAATGGGTTTTTTTTTCCACTGGTATGCAACCTGAATATTGAAATTGTTCCTAAATGAAAGTGCTTGCCTTTTTAATTTCGGTACTCAGGCTACCTGGAATAATTCCAGAATATTTGCTTTCAAGAGGTATTTTCAGATATGGAGACCTTTGTTGTGGTATCAGATGCTGTCTCCAGTTGGATGACTTCTACTCCATGATACCCCGAGGA